AGCATGGGGTGTGAGTTGCTGCATTGCTAGGGGACCCTAAGGCAGGTGTCCAAATGCTGATGAGTAGGAAATGTGCTTGAGAGTGGGTCTCTGTGCACATCTAAAGCCACAGGCTAGGAGTTGAAGCCAAGCAAGCAGACTGGCCTCATCTTGCGGTTAACTGGAGACATCTTCTCTGTCCCACTGACTTCTCCCCACTCCCAAAGCACCGAAGGAGGAGGTGGGAGGCATGTGAAGAACACACAGTCCTTTTGCCTCCGGCTGCTTGGTGTGCCGGAGAGACCATACCCTGCCCTGGGAGTTGGGAGAGGCTCCAAGCTTTGAAGATGAACAGAGATTAGTTTTAAAAGGGGCTGGTCCAAGTCATGTTTAACTCTTAATGCATGTAAGACAAATTCAGAGCAGCACACAAGTCATAGATGAACCACAAATTAGTTTTCAAAGAGAACACTGTCAGGAACCAGCACCCAGGAGCAATAAACTGCGTATTTTATGGTCCCCTCCATGACCCCTTGCAGTCAGATCCCACCCCTTCTCGGGTTACTTGTGACTCCTCATGCTGAAGGTGAGTTCATCCTCCCTTTCCACTTTGGTAGAAACAGGATCACACAGCGTGTGCCTTTCTGTGTCTGGCTTTTCACTCAACATTAGGTGTGTGAGATTCATCCACATTGTGTGTATGGACCAGGTCTCAAGGGAGTGCAGTGGAGGACTAGCAAGTTACTAGAAAGCTTAAGATGGGACAAAGATGTGGCGAAGAGTCTTGCTTCCCAGCAGGAAAGTGGACCACTGCAGCCATCTTGGTGGCAGGTTTTAGAATAATAAAGCTACTTCATGTTGATATCCCAACTCTTAACAGTGAGTCACCACTTAACTCTTGTTTTTGAATGGCATACTTGTAGTACCTTCAGGTTTCTCGGGAAGTCTGCTTATTAGGGCAACAGAATAACAAAACCACAGCTGTGACCTTGTTTCTTCCATTGGTCAGGATGCTAAGTTGCCAGCCTGGGGAACCACTGTCCCAACTCCAGGGCCCACATGCACTTCCAAGAGGAATTTGGCAAGAGAGTGAAGTGTTTGAAGCACCCTTCATATTGAATGAGGTGGAGACTTATTAGAGGAAAATCAAGCCTCACTAATTGTGTTATATGCATATATTATCTCATTATTTCCAGTTTATGCAAATTACAAATGTCCGAAGACATTCAAAAATATTCCCATCAACTTCTAACTGACTCAGGAACAAGTGGAAACACAAACACGATATGAGTGTTCCTGTTAAACATTTTTTATTGTGCCAGTTTTTCTTGGTTATTATCAAAGCATTTCACATTCATTTTAGGATAGTGAGATCATCGGTGATTTGATCAATCAGTCTATTCATCCATCTATCTATCGATGCATTTTTATTGTTTTAACTTATTGTTTTGGAACTAAATGAAAAGTCTTAAAACAGAAAAATTTCAAGAACAATACAAACAATTCCCACTTCTCTTCATCCAGATCCCCATTCATAGTAAGCCAAGCATCCCAATAATGTCTTTGATAGGGATAGGATCCAATCCAGGGTAGGCGTGCCTTTAGATATTATGTCTTGGCCTCCCAGTCTGGAGCAGTTCCTCAGTGCTTCCTTGGACTGGTTATAGTCCAATTATTTTGTGAATGTCCCCTCACTTTGGTTGCTACAGAATGTCCTCATGATCAGATTCAAATTGTACACTTTGGGCAGAAATCACAGAAGAGAAAGCATGTTCTTCTCATGGCATCTCTTCTGATGACACATAATGTCACTCATCACATTCTGTCACATGGCACGTGGTGCCAAGTTGTCCCATCACTGATGTTAACTTTGATCACGTGGGTGAGGAGGTTTCTACAATTTTCTTACACTGTAAGATTACCCTTGTTCCCTTTACAATTAGTAATTTTTTCACAGGGAGATAAAGTTGAGGCCAATTTTATTATTTTACTTTTTTTGATAATTTTTTTGCTATAAGGCCCGTGTGCTCACTGAAGAGAGAGAGAGAGATATACAGAAAGAGAGAAAGCGAAAAATCAACCCCTAAGGTGGATGAGTTTTTTTTTTTTTTTTTAGAGGTTTTTGCTATAGGGTGCGTGTGCTCACCAGACAGAGAGAGAGAGAGACAGAGAGATAGAAAGTGAGAAATTAACCCCCAGGGGGGATGGCCATGCCACAATACCTTCTCCTCTATTCTCCTCTCGGGATCTTGGGCATGCACACACACGCGCCCTGTGTGAGTTTAAGCCACCAGGTCTGGGACGCGACTACGTGGGAGTCCAGCGACATAGCCATTACTCTAACTGCTGGTCCCCATAAGGCGGATGAGTTTTAAGCCACTGGGTCCAAGAGGCGAACCGTGGTCAACAATGTGGGAGTCCAGCGACAACCATTATGCCATCTGTTGGTCCGTCTTTGTCTTTTTTCAGAGAAAGATCTTTGCTACAGGGTGTGTGCACTCACCAGAGAGACAAAGTCAGAAAACAAGAAATCAACCCCCAGGGGGATGGCCATGCCACAATCCCTTCTCCTCCATTCTTCTCTTGGGATTTTGGGCACGCACGCACACACACCCGACATGAGTTTTAAGCCATCACAGCACACACACCCGACATGAGTTTTAAGCCACCACAGTTGACTGCATGGGAGTCCAACAACGTAACCATTATGCCATCTGCTGGTCCTATTTTTTCTACATTTTGAAGTTAGTGTCCTATTCTGAGGAAGCCCTTTCTCTTCTCCATATTGTATTTCTTTATATCGGTGAAGACTTACAGATTACTCTTTTACTCTCATCATTTATTTGTTTATTTTTACTTTTTATGAGAGAGAGAGAGAGAGCGAGAGAGAGAGATGAGTATTTTTGACAGGGTCTTGCCATATCATGACCATCTTGCCCTAGCCTCCCAGTTAGCTAGAATTACAAGCATATGCTACCACACCAAGCCTCTTTAGGTTGTTCTAGGAACCAAACCTGGGCCTCCCATGTAGCTTCGGCCTCACACAGTGGTACCCTATTGCTTGCATCACACAGTTTTTTTGTTTTTACATTTAATCACTGTGTGTCATTATGGTATATCAGATTTTCCCATCACGAATACTCTGCATACCACTTTGTTCTGATGCTCAAATTATCCCATATTTGGCCAGTGGGAGCCTCTGCAATCCATCTTGTGTGTCTTTTTGACATTTCATAATATTCTCTGAGCACTTCTTCACTCTCTGACAAGATGTATAAGCCCCATCTTAGATGTTTTCTGGCCCAGGCCTGGGATTCAGCCATTTCTTCAAATAATCCTGTCTAGATTTTCTCCATGCACAATTGTTTTTTTAAAAAGATATACACACCTATCTACACTTTGCACCTAAATTTACTTTTAGATATAGCTAGATATATTGAAAAAAAAAAAGAAAATCACATTTCATTCCAATCGCTCCAATATCAATCCAACCCTATAGAGTTCATTCTAGCTTTCCCCATTTTCATAACCCAAAGAATTAAAGATATGTTGAGTTTCAAGGTAGGAAGAGGGTTTACTGAAATGTTTATAACTCTGATTCTCATTCACTGAAAGATTTACTCTTTCCTTGAGGCCTTGTATTATTTCAAACTCACAGAATTCTATCTTTGGTAGGATTTTGTTTTTGCCATGTTTAAATATATGGAAAACTCGAGTTCTTAACACTATCAGGATCACCTAGAAGAGGCTGATAAAAAGCTCTCTATGCCTTAAGTCCAAATTGTATTGTAATCTATTCAGTGTATGATGAGCATAGCCATAATTTGAAAAATGCCTACATTTTGCAAACTGGAGTAGGTTTTCTTCTGAAGTGAATGATTGCCCGTTGGCAATCACTTAATAAAGGATTACTTCTTGAATGCCCATTTGAGCTAATTTGTCTTGTTTGCAGATAAGCAATTGCAAGAAAAATACCTTCATAAGGCAGTCCTGGGGCCATTCCTTAGAGCACTACCCTTCCGTGTTGTACTTACTATTCGTAACTGTCTTGAACACCTAACAGCATGGATGTATTTTTTTGGGCCTAATTATAGACGACTGTTCTTCCCTGATGCTAGATTATTATATCTCTGTTTTACAAATAAGAAAATCGGGATTTGAATTATTTTGGTAACTTTTATAGGGGGAAGTAGATTTTGAACCCAGGCAATCTGGCTCCACTGGCCACATGCCCAGCCATTTCATCAACCTGCCCCACAGCAAAGCTGTTTAAGGAAAAAATATTTGGAGGATTAGGTCATCTGAAAAAAACAGCATTCTGCATTATAATAGATACACTTCATTGTCAAATAAAGCCAAGACAATTACCCAGGGAATTGAAGAAAACCTATTTTCCCTGATCCCTTAGCATCTTCCACATGGCGCTCAGACTGTTGAGTCTCTGGAGTGTGGGTAAGGGTGGGAGTCAGGGGAAGGCTGAAAATGTGGAAGCTCATTGACCTTCTTTGCACTTCTTTTTGCCTCATTTAGAGCTATCAGATTTAAGCACTGGGCACTATATATTTGAACTAAATCTATTGCTTATTTTAAAAATAATGATTTACTTTTATTTACATTTAATCACCATACATCTTTACAGTGTAAAAAATGTTTTTTCCCAGCATGAATAAGGTGCGTATTAGTCAAGTCAAAAACGTTAGCATACACGTTATCATCAGCAGATAACTTTTCATTTTTGTGTCTATTAAATGTGTTGGTTTTCCCCTGATCACTTCTCTCCCACCTCCTATTACCCACTCCCTAATACTCCCCGCAATGTCTCCAGTATCTACAGTTGCCCTCTCTGAATCTATTGCTTGTTAAAAACTGTCCCTGAAAAGCCAGAAAGATAAACTGTGCCCCATCTCAGCACATACCGCCAAACTAATGGACTTTACACTCAGTAGCCTGTTAACCCTAAAAATGACTGACAAGAGTCTGATGCTTGGTACCTTCTCCCCTTTTCCCTAAATCTCTCACAGTGGGTGGGCAGCATGAGCAAGTTTCAGGAAGAAGTCTCCAAGACCTTGATTCTGAGCTTGATTTGTATTTCAGACTGCTGGGCTGATCGATCCCCACTTCATGAAGCTGCGGCCCAGGGGCGCTTATTGGCCCTTAAAACCTTACTTACACAAGTAAGTAAACTGAAGACTTGATTCTTTGTGCTTATGCTATAATCAAGCATCAATCTTTGTTGGCTTTGGCTATAGCAGAGGTCTTGCTTATCCCATCTGGGTCCCAGTACTGCCATTCTAGTTGTCTGTATCCTCTTGTACCTCACCATTTGTTTCTCTTGCCTCTCTTTTCCTGGGAAACTGCTTCATTCTCTGTACAACTCTCTTCTCCCACTTATGGAGCTTCCTTTACCTCCCAGGAAGTTCCCCTGTGAGGGATCATGAAAGATGCTCTCAAAATTACTTTGCACTAACTCACCTCATACTCTCCTAGTGTGTGTTCCTGACTACACTCCTGAAGTTGTGTTTGTCAGCTACTGCTGTGTAACAAATCTTCTGAAAGCATAGTGGCTAAAAACAGCATACACAGGGACCAGCAGTTAGCGTAATGGCTATGTCACTGCACTCTCATGTAGTCGACTGTGGTTCAAGTCCCAGACCCGGTGGCTTAAACTCACGCTGAGTGCATGTGTGTGCATGCCCAAGATCCTGAGAAGAGAACGGAAGAGAAAGGATTGTGGCATGGCCATCCCCCCTGGGGGGGATTTCTCGCTTTCTGTCTCTCCATCTCTCTCTGTCTTTCTGGCAAGCACATGAGCCCTACAAAAGCCTCTCTGAAAAAAAGAAAAAAAAAAAAACCAGCATACACATAATCTCACAGTTTCTGTGGACCAGGGAGCAGGTTAGCTAGGTGGTTCTGGCTCAGGGTATCTTGCAGACTACAAGTATCAGCCAGGACAGTGGTCATATCACAGTAAAATGGGGAGAGGATATGTTTTCAAACTCACTCACAGAGTGGTTAGCAAACCTCAGTTTCTAGCCACATTGCCTCTCCATAGGAATGTGTCATGAGATGGCAGGTGGCATCTTCCAGAGAGAGCACAAGAGAGTGCCTAAGAAGTTATTTTTTGTTTTATTTTGTTTTTATAATCTAATCTCCAAACTGACACCTTGTTACTTTTGCCATATTCTACTCATTAGTTGTAAATTGGTAAGTTCAGCCCACATTCAAGGAGAAGGAATTATACCAATGAGATAATACCAGGAACTTGGGCTCAATGGGTGCCATCCTAGAGACCGACTACCCCAATGTCACACTATTTCAAGAGAAAGCTTTAACATAGGTTGACAGGTGGGTAAGTCTTACTCCTAAGGGCAGATTTATTCAAGTCTCAATTATTAAGTCTACTTTATTTGTATTTATGATTATATCTTCAGCATCTAAATATTTGTGAAATGAATGAAAGAAAGTGTGCATGCTTCATTTGCTTTGTTTTGGAGTCCACGTGTGTACAAAGGATGAGTCATTATGCCTTTTTTTCCACATCTTAGCAATCACCTAACCTGGCTTCTCTACCATTTTGAATTTATAGACAGCTGGGCGCACTGCTGTGTGTGTGTGTGCATGTGTGTGTGTGTGTGTGTGTGTGTGTGTATTTTTGCTTTTTCCTTTATGAAATGTGTTACTTCTTTTTTTCCCACATTATTTATTATTTGTTTTTTGTCTATACTTTCAATCATATTGTTTGACTTACAATGAGACCATTTCGATATGTGCACATTTCTCCCCAGACGGGCTGGGTGATACCACAGCAATAGCAAAATACTCTTTGAGGCTGATCCACAAAGGAAGGTTCTGGTTTCACATCTGAAGACCTCCCTATACATGCTGGGCATGCATAGGCCCATGATTTTCTCTGTCTCTCTCTCTCATGGAAGAAATAAACAAACTTAAAAAAAAAAGTAGAGGCAGGAGGAAAACAGTCCTGCCAGCAATCATCAAATGGGCTTTGTACATTTTGTGTGATTTTATTTTTTAGTATGTACTATAGGCACATAGTTCAAAAATTAAAATGATATAAAAAGGTACATGGTAAAAGTCTTACCTCTACCTTTTCCCTCGCAGCCTCCCATGTCAATACTTTCATTAGTATTTTTAATAAGTGTTATAATTTGGGATACTTGTAAAGAAGAGTTAGACAGATAGCATGGGGAGATCCCAAGTACCCTTCACCCAGCTCTCCGTAATGTCAACATCTTACATAGCCATGGTACATTAGTCAAAAAGAAGAAAGAGAGAAAGAGAGAGAAAGAAAGAAAGAAAGAAAGAAAGAAAGAAAGAAAGAAAGAAAGAAAGAAAGAAAGAAAGAAAGAAAGAAAGAAAAGAAAAAGAAATCACCATTGCTACAATACCATTAGCTAAACTGCAGACTGGTATTTCACCAGTTTTTCCACTAGTGTCATTTGTTTGTTCCAGGATCCAATCCAGGATCCCACATTACACATAGCACTTCTTCATTTTTAGTTGTACTTCATAAGTGTGTTAGCTTCAGTAGTGTGCTTACATGTGTAAGGAACATAATGTGTAGAAAAGTTCAACTTTCTTTTTGCTTCATCTCCATTTCTTTATCCTTACACACTAGTCAAAAACATATTATTTTACCTTTTTTAACCTTTATTTAACATTTAGATAGTGTGGTAAATGTGAGTAAAACATTAAACCGACATGAGTAAATGTGAGTAAAACATTACACCAAGGTTTAGGACCTCCTAGTCATCACGCTGGCGTCACTAACAGTTGAGGAACCTTCAGTTTTATACATAATTTGACCTTCCTCCTTCTCCATTTCTCATGCACAGTTAAGGTAATTCATTCTAGATGATCTTGAGGCCTGTCCAGCATTACATTCCTATAATCCAGGGATTCTGAGATTTTGCACATATCAGTAAAATACTGCTGCCACCTTGTGGACTAGTCTGTTTTCTTATTTTCTTAAAAGGAAATATGTGAGAAAGAGAGAAGAAAAAGACTTTTGTACTGTACTAGATGCCCAATTTGAAGTATGCAGCACAGCTCTAAAGTAGTGACGTCATATTCAGGGCATGAAAATGGACAGGACCCAGGAGGTATGGTGAGGCCTTGTAATGAAAGGACAGACAGTAGTGGGAAGTCTCAGCTGCTGGCTACGGTGGGGAGGCAGGGACATCTGGTAGGAGACCATGCATATGTAGGTTGGAGTTTGGGGTTCAGGGTCACGTGCTGGGTTTTGGAAGCTTTCAGAAGGCCAATTATAAAGCAGGGAATGAAAAACAAGGGCTCATCTGAGGACCAACCAGAGACCTAAGTCCTTCTGCAGATAGAAAGTAGTCATCATTGGGGAAAATGGCAAGAGCCAAGTTTTTAAAATCAGGGTACCAAGTCAGAGTTGTCCAGCTGCTAATCTGACCTTGTCATCTGTCACATGGACTCCAGGACAAGGAAGACAGAGCATAGCAATACGAGGGGGGAGAATCATGAAGGTGCCAGAACAGAGTGATGACATTGTGCCTAGGTAAGAAGATGAGGGCGGGGGGAAGTGTCTGGTTCTAGGCCTTGGCACTTCAGTCTCTCAATGCAGTGGCACAACTTGGGGCTCTTAGGAGCACTTTCTCCTTTTTACTCTTGTGCCCAGGACCCATCCTCTGTTCCAGCCCCATGTCTACCTCTGGAACATCTCTGTACACTATCACCTACTCCCCACACCCACCCTGTTTACGCCAGAGTAGGCCCATACCAGCCTGCCTGGCCTCAGTGATATCTCCACGGCTCTCCTTGCCTTTGTGTCCCATCCCTACCACTGCAATCAACCCTCCGTGCTGCTATCAACATGCTTCTCCTAAAATGACTGACCTATTAGTCCAGAATTGCTATGACCTCACAGACATCATTGGTACCTTGTTCCCTCAAAGACATGCACCCCCTGCTTGGAAATCAAGGCCTATCTGATCTGGCTCCAACTCACTGTCCTCCTTTACCTCCCATCTCCAACTTCCCCTTTCTTCTCCAACCATGATCCAGAAACAGTCAACCATCCAGATGAAGCTTTGCCACACTCTCTGTTACTTCCTGCATTTCTCTCCTAATGTTATACTTTTTCTTTGACTTCTTAGCTTGAAACATTTTATGCTTGAAGTCATAGCAAAATCCCACCTGACTTGTGAAGTTTTTAGCTTTTTTTAGAGAGAGATTTTTGCTATAGGGTATATACATTATCTGGAGACACAGAGAGAGACAGAAAGACAGAGACAGGGAGAAAACACTCCCTAGAGGGGCTGGCCCATGCCACAATCCCCTTCTCCTCCATTCTCTCCTCAGGATTTTGGGCCTGCACACACGAATGTCTGGCATGTTTCAAGCCACCAGCTCTGGGACTCAAACCACAATCAGCCATGTGGAAGTCCAGTGCCACAATTACTATGCCATCTGCTGGCCCTGAAGCTTTTTCTTACTTCCCAAGCCAGATCTAAGGAGACTCCATCCATTCTTCCAGCTGAAATTTGAACACACTCCCATATAGCAATATTCTTGCATTTTGGTTTATCATTTCTGCCTCCCCACGAGCTTCTTGAAGGAGAGAGATCCATGCCATGTCATAACCTTTGAAGACCCAGATTCTAGCACATTGTCTGGCCTAGAATGCTGAATAAGCATTCATAAATGAATAAATTTGATATAGGCTCCCATACTGTATTTAGACTCCCCTGGTCATGGCCTCTACTCCCCTTTATATGGTGTTAATGTTATACCTGAAGGCTGTGAAAGCATCATAAATATGTCAAGCAACATTGCTTGTGTTGCTACCGCTAATGCAACATTTAATCCTTTTCTCTCCAAATTATAGGGTGTCAATGTGAACCTTGTGACAATTAACCGGGTTTCTTCTCTACATGAGGCATGCCTTGGAGGTCATGTGGCCTGTGCTAAAGCCTTACTGGAAAATGGTGCACACGTGAGTACCACCCCTACCCATCAGGGTCCGTCTGCTCAGGTGCACCTGCTAATATCTAAAGAGGCACAATATTCTAGCTACTTACCTGCTGTGAGTATGAGCAGGCCTGTTCCCATCCATGTCCATATTCCATCATTCAGGTTACTCCTTTCTATTCAGTTTGAACCCCCATGTGTGAACATTCAGATATGATAATTTATAGGAGTCTCAAAATTGTGATGATGACTTGAAAAAAACCTTTATTGTGAAACATTAAAAAGAACACATTTTTTGTGTTTGTCCTACATTTCAGTCATATCAGAGCCTCCCCTAGAATGCCTTGTTCCCCAATCTGTTGTTGGTATTCAAAGATGCCTCCCAGCTGTCTGGTTCTCACGTGTTCCCGTGTGGTTGGAGACACCATGTAGATGGCTATTTTCATTTTCTTTTTCAAATCATATTGCTAATTGCACTAGCAAAGGATGGCTATTTTCTATGCACCTTTGGCTTGGTCAAGAGCTCTTTAGGAGTCACAGCTAGCATATGCAACTTGTATGGCTTATACTTGACCAGGGAAATTTCTGATAAGAAAGATAGCATAACTGTGAGGAATTCCTAAGCAGTTTGTTTGTTTGTTTGTTTTCAAAACTGAGATTTTGAAACCTTAAGCTAGTCGATTTCTCCAGTACTATTGATTCTTGCTATGTTTGTTCATGGCTGGGAGGGGAAGTCAGCTCCTTAGAAATGGAAAATAGGGAACCAGCAGTTAGTGTAATGGCTATGTCGCTGGACTCCCATGTAGTCGACCGCGGTTCACGTCCCGGACCCGGTGGCTTAAAACTCATGCCAGGCACATGTGCGTGCGTGCCCAAGATCCCGAGAGGAGAATGGAGGAGAAGGGATTGAGGCATGGCCATCCCCCCGGGGGGGTGATTTCTCACTTTCTGTCTCTATGTCTCTCTCTGTCTGGTGAGCACATGCGCCCTATAGCGAAAACCTCTCCAAAAAAAGAAGAAATGGAAAATAAAACTAAGTGGTTTTGGAAATGTTTGCACACACGCCCGGCTGAGTTTTAAGCCACCGGGTCTGAGACGTGAACTGCGGTCAACTACATGGGAGTTCAGTGACATAGCCATTACGCTAACTGTTGGTCCCCCGCAAATGTTTATTGAGTGCTTACTGGGTATCAGGCAATGTTTTTGTTTTGTTTTGTTTTGTTGTTTGTTTGTTTTTTGGAGAGGTTTTTTGCTATAGGGCACGTGCGCTCGCCAGACAGAGAGAGACATAGAGACAGAAAGCGAGAAATCACCCCCAGGGGGGATGGTCACGCCGCAATCCCTTCTCCTCCATTCTCCTCTCCAGATCTTGGGCCTGCACACACATGCACCCAGCATGAGGTTAAGCCACCAAGTCCGGGACTTGAACCACAGTTGACTACATGGGAATCCAGCAACATAGCCATTACACTAACTGCTGGTCCCGCAGGCAATGTTTTAAGTACTTAACATATAGTAACTCATTTGATCCACCCAATGGCCTCATGAGGTTTCATAATACTGTAAACATGTAGAGTTTTCTCACTCATTCACTTCCCTAGGTAGATATATAGGAATAAAGGCTTGAAATTGGTGAGGAAAAAACTAATGAATCCTCTTGGCCTCTCTCTGCCCATCATTAGGTCAATGCAGTGACAGTTCATGGAGCCACACCCCTCTTCAATGCTTGCTGCAGTGGCAGTGTTGGATGTGTCAGTGTGCTGCTGGAGTTTGGAGCCAAGGCCCAGCTCGAGGTGCACCTGGCTTCACCCATCCATGAGGCAGTAAAGAGAGGTAAACGAACCATCACAACGCACACAGAACACTGTGGGCTCACTCCAACCTGCATGACTCAATGGTCTAGTGTTAGTCATGCAACAGTTGCCAATTGTCGTCATCATTAGAATATGTGTGACAGAAATCCCACAGCAGTAATTTCAGTTTGCCTGACTCTTCAGGAGATACCATTGAGGCATGGAACAGCTCTTCTTATAACCTGGGGAGATCTCAGATGTCCCATTTCCTGGGGACAGTCTTGCAGCAGGCCTTTCCTGAGCCTCTTTGCTGGTGTTTTGGTGGCAGCTGGTCCACCCAAGGCAGTAGTTGTGACTTCCATGAATTGTACTGTGCTTATTGTGTCTGCTCTTACTAGAAAAGAACAGTTCATCCCCAAAGCTCATGAAATACTGATGACTAACATGAAATAAGTTATGAAAGTATCTGAAAGATAAGGCTGATACTATCTCTGATGGAATAGTAAACATAACTGTAGATAATAAATAATACACTCCAGATGAGCTGATGAGCTCAAGGCCATAGTTATTGGGAAAAAATAACAACTTTAAAAAGGCATGTCATATAAATAGCTATTAATTAATAAATGATGTCAATCATTTCCCAAACATCTCATGTAAGTCTTTCAAGTTATAGAGTAATGGATACCTTGGAAATGATATGAAAGATTTTTAAAAAGTTAATATTGAAGTAAAAATTAATGTTATTTTCATTTCCTTCCATATGTTTAAAAATGGATATTTACTGGGAATGGTTTGAATTATTTCAGTAATTCTGCAATGTTTGGCTAATTATCTGTGGAGCAATTAGCAATCTCTGTGCCTATAGCATGTACATATGCCTGTTGAAAATATGCAATTCATGTGTCTTTACATATTTTTTTTCTGCATTGTAAAAGCATATTAAACAACATCCACAGAATGGAAGAATAATTAGCAAATTCATTATTTTAGATACTATTGTATTACTGCTAGTAATACAATTAACTTTTATATATTCATTTAAAAACTTCTTGTGAATACTTGAATACTTAAACTACGCTGTTTCATTTTCTGCAAAATAAAAAAAAATATTATTCGGAAATATTTACTACGTATCTGCATTTTGCCAGGTAGTTTTAGGAAATAAATAAATATTTATTGGTACTATTGGTTCCAACAGTAGAATAGAATAATATCCACCCAATATTATTATTTCTGGATTCTTAAGTCTTTTTTTTTTTTGAGAGATTTTCGCTGTAGGGCGCATGCACTCATCAGACAGACAGAGAGAGACATAGAGACAGAAAGCAAGAAATCACCCCCCAGGGGGGATGGTCATGCCACAATCCCTTCTCCTCCATTCTCCTCTCGGGATCTTGGGCACGCACGCACACGCGCCCGGCGTGAGTTTTAAGCCACCGGGTCCAGGATGCGAACCGCGATCAACTACGTGGGAGTCTAGCGACATAGCCATTACGCTAACTGCTGGTTCCCTGGATTCTTAAGTCTTTAAACTTCCATAAATAATCTGGGGCATAGTCTGAGTCAATATCTTGACATATTGGTATTATAATCCAGGTAAAATATTTACTGATGTTAATAAATTATTTGAACCTACATAATCTTGATTTGTACATTTTAATGCCTATTAATACCTAAATTGCAACTTGTGATAACTCAGGTCTAGAATGAAGCTTACTTTCCTGTTATCTATAAAGAAAAGATTGATGAAATTAATTAATGATAATAAAAGTTTTAAATCTTTAAATCTTAACAGAGAACTAACGTAACACTGTTTTTTGAGAGATTTTTGCTATGAGTAATCCTGTAATTCTGTGAATATTAAATATATCCCTTACTTGAGTGAGGTTGTCTTTTGTTCTACCAGGTCACACACAGTGCATGGAGATTCTGCTGGCAAATAATGTTAACATTGACCAAGAATTGCCTCGTCTTGGGACTCCCCTGTATGTGGCCTGCACTTTTCAGCAAGTAGACTGTGTGAAGAAACTTCTAGACTTAGGTAATTTCCAGAATCTTTTCAAGAGAAGAACCTGTTAACTTTTTTGGTTATATGTGGTTTCAAAGAAGGTCTTGGCAGGTTAAAAAAAGAAATACATCCATAGCATTTGATGTTTGAATGCTTATTATAGAACTTCTCCAGAGAAAAGGGTGTGTTTTTCAGTTCTGCTTCTTTTTTTTTTTTTTGGAGAGATTTTCACTGTAGGGCGCATGCGCTCGCCAGACAGACAGAGAGAGACATAGAGACAGAAAGCGAGAAATCACCCCCCAGGGGGGATGGTCACGCCGCAATCCCTTCTCCATTCTCCTCTCAGGATCTTGGGCACGCACGCACACGTGCCCGGCGTGAGTTTTAAGCCACCGGGTCCGGGACATGAACCGCGGTCTACTACGTGGGAGTCCAGTGACATAGCCATTACGCTAACTGCTGGTTCCCAGTTCTGCTTCTTTTGATGCTAGCTGGTTGATCAGAGGCTGGTTCTCTCTGGTGGTCTCAAATTGGCTGCCAGCAAAACGTGGGCTTGTAGCCCTTCTCATCCATACACAGCCAAGAAAGACCATTAGCTCTTTTGGAGTCACATGCCCATCTCTGAACCAATTATGGTGACCAAAGAAATATTATACAATGCACTAGCTTAGGACAAGATTTCAGTTTCTGCAGTTACTGGAAACACATGAACTGAGAAGGACAAGAGGATGAGTTCCTAGGGGGGAATCTGAATGGGGTTACCAGGATGATACTAGATAGTAAAAGACATAGACATTTGCCACAGACTGTTTTACATCTATCCTACTCTATTTAGTCATTTTTTTAAATTTCAAAAGGCACATATAGAAATCAAGAGTTCAGAGAAAAGTACGGTATCTTGAAACTATGTATTATTTGGTTAAAGAGTCACCAAACTTAGCTATGACATAAAGGTGGAGGTTGTGGTAAGAACCTTTAGTTGAGTGTTTTTATCTTCAAGAATTTTTTTGTCTTTTTTATTTCCCTTCATTTATGGTTCTCTGTAGTAAGTTCAGAGATGTTTGAGCCTCAAATAATACAAGTACCAATTAAATTTACTTTTATTCTTTGCCAGAAAATCAAAATAATCTAATAGCAACCTCAATTATTTTGTTTTATATGTGACACAGCTCATGTGGGAAAGCAAGTAAAGTATTTAAGATAACTGAAAATATCCAAATTCATATTCCTCACCAAAATATTTTGACATGGACTGAGTTAACATTGCTGAGGTTTTAAGCTCAAGTCATGAGTTTTCAAAGAGGGTCTTCAAACATGTCATGGCATTTAAGATATCTTTATATCCAATGACTCTATCTTGGGCTTATTGTAGTTGACATTAACATTTAGCTTTGAACAGTGGCCCTCTGCTTTGTTAAGGAGCCAGTGTGGACCAGGGCCAGTGGTTGGACACCCCCCTCCATGCTGCAGCAAGGCAGTCCAGTGTGGAGGTCATCGACCTGCTAACCAGCTATGGGGCTAACTTGAAGCGCAGAAACTCTCAAGGCAAGAGGGCACTGGATGTGGTGGCTCCAAAAAGCAGGATGGAGAAGGCGCTCCTGCGCCACAGAGGTAACCATGGGCTGGGTATCCACCTCTCTTTCATAAACACACTGCTGTCTCTCCTTCCTGTCTTGTTCCTAGAGTTTTCTATCTTTTCATTTTCTCTTTTGAATTGGGAGTGGCTTTGTGGGAGGTGGCAAGATATCACTGATATATATTCTGGAAATTTATGTCTGCGTACAGCAGTCCCCCTTGATGTGGGAGATACATTCCAAGGCCCCAGATGGAGGCCTGAAATGGTGGATAGTCCCCAACCCTGTCAGATATTTTTTTTGTTACATGTGCATATCTATGATAAAGTTTACTTTATTAATCAGGCAAAATAAAAGATTATTAACAATAACTAATAAGCAAATAGAACAATCATAATATACTGTAATAAAAGTTCTGTAAATATAGTCTCTCTCCCTTTCTCAAAATATCTTAATTGCACTCACCTATTTTTGGACAACAGTCGAGTACCGGCAACCAAAACCCAGAAAGCAAAACCATGGGTATGGCTCAGACTGCCACACATTCACTGAAAACCAAAGGGCGTTTACCTACAACTGGATTGCTGCTTTGTATTTTGCGTGTTTTCACCTTGGAAAGGTTGAACTTCCATGTCTGTAAGCATATGGCTAGGCAAATCAAAACTATTCTTTGTAATATTGGAAGGCAGTCCAGGGGCAGGTTAGAATTAGAGGCAGTAGGATTACATGGTGTATATTTCAGAAACCTGACTAAATGCTGAGGGTGGTCTGCCTATTCTCCAGGTCAGGGTGGCTGGGTCTGTGATTCTCATTGCCTCACTACCATTTCTACCATGGGCTTTAAAGACAACTATATAGATCCCAGAGGAGAGAGGGTGAATTTCCAAGGTGTTTCATAGCCCCAATTCAAAAGAAAACCACCATGTTATGTCTATACAGTGTGAGAACATTTTCTGAACCTATATTGATCATTTTTATGCTTTTTTTTAAAGAATTATTTTAACTTTATTTATTTTATTTTTATTATTTATTTATTTTAATTTGACCAGCGAGAGAGAGAGAGAGAAAGCAAGCTGCCGGGTCCAGGACTCGAACCACGGTCAGCCATGTGGGAGTCTAGCACCTTAACCACCTCACCACCTGCCAGCCCCACTGAATTCTTAAAACCTTAAAGCAGTGAGAACTTGATAGTAGTTGAGTTTGTGCCAGCTACATTATGGGAAAGTAGAACCATGAAGAGGTTGGTTTGCAGAAGGGCACATAGCTACTAAGTAGCACTAAGATTTTTAAAAATAATTATTTTATTTAACTTTATTTATTTACTTATTTTAATTTGACCAGAGAAGGACAGAGTAATAGTGAGAGTAAGAGAGAGAGAAAGTGAGAAAGCAAGCTACCAGTTCTAGGACTCCTCAAACCGCAGTCAGCCATGTGGGAGTCCAGCGCCCTTAACCACGCCACCTGCCAGCCCCAGTAGCACTAACATTTTATCCAGGCCATATGATCCCAGAATGCACTCTTAATGTTATGAGGCTCCAATCCTGAATCTTCTGTAAGGATTTCCAGTGGAGAGAGGTCTCATTTCACTTATTGGTTCCATTCTGTGAACCCACCGCCATTTTTTTTTTGAGAGGTTTTTCACTATAGACGCGTGCGCTCGCCAGACAGAGAGAGACAGAGAGACAGAAAGTGAGAAATCACCCCCCAGGGGGGATGGCCATGCTGCAATCCCTTCTCCCCCGTTCTCCTCTCGGGATCTTGGGCACACACGCACACACGCCCGGTGTGAGTTTTAAGCCACTGGGTCCTGGACGCGAACCGCGGTTGACTATGTGGGAGTCCAGCGATGTAGCCATTACGCCAACTGCTGGTCCCAACCAACCGCCATGTTTTGTACACCTTCCAAGGGGAATACTTGGTTTAATTGTATTAGGACTAGTCTCTCTAAATCAGTGTATCTCAATTAAGCTTTAATGTGAGTATCAATTACTTGAGGATCTTATTAAGATATAGATTCAGATTCAGGAGGTCTAAACACTGCATGTCTAGCAGGCTCCCAGGTGATACTGATACTGCTGGTCTAAGAATCACACTTAAAGTACCACTGGTCTAGATTATTCCCAATTATCTAGATCACTAGTAATTGTTCTTTTATTTAAATCTCCACAGTATGAATGATCATCTTCCTTAGCAGATTCCTGGTTGGAAATATCAGGTACTTTCCAACTGTTAGCTACAGTTGTCCATCAGTATCCACAGGGGACTGGTTCCAGTCTTTAGTATTTCTTCAGTATTTTCATATAATCTACATATATCCTCCTATATAGTTTAATAATTATTTATTTAATTTTGTTTATTATTATTACTTTAAAATTTGCTATAGGGCACATGTGCTCATGAGAGAGAGAGAGAGAGAAATAGAGAAAAGTGAGAAAGCAAGCCACCAAGTCAGCTCTATGTGAGTCCAGCACCTTAACTACCACACCACCTGCTGGCCCCCTCCTGTATACTTTAAATCATTTCTAGATTACTTATAATACCTCATATAATGTAAATGCTATGTTAATTTTGTAATACTGCATTGTTTTAAAATTTGTATTATTTTTATTCTTGTATTGTTTGATTTCATTGTGTTTTTCCTGAATATTTTTTATTCTCAGTTGCTTGAATACACAGATGCAGAACAAGCAGAGATAGGAGACCAACTATAGTTCAGAGCAGTTTTTATATTTCCTATTTTTCTCCATTCAAATGTTTCCAGGTCTAGAATTTGCATTCCTTTTTTTTAATAATTTTTTTTAGAGGTTTTTGCTATAGGGCGCGTGCACTAGCCAGACAGAGAGAGACAGAGAGACAGAAAGCGAGAAATCATCCCCCCCCCGGGGGGGAGCCATGCCGCAATCCCTTCTCCTCCATTCTCCTCTTGGGATCTTGGGCACGCACGCACACGCACTCAGTGTGAGTTTTAAACCACCGGGTCCGGAACATGAACTGCTGTCGACTACATGGGAATCCAGCGACATAACCATTACGCTAACTGCTGGTCCCATAGAATTTGCATTTCTTATAAGAAGTTTCTCTGTCTCTGTCTTCGTGAATATAGCCACTTGCTCAAGGAGTAATGCCAGCTACATCAGAATTCACTCATGTTTGAACTTCTGTAGAAAAACCAGACAATTGGGATCAGCAATTAGCGTAATGGCTATGTCGTTGGACTCCCACGTAGTCAACCACGGTTTGAGTCCTGGACCCGGTGGCTTAAAATTCACGCTGG